TGGAAACTCATGTAGTTGAGACGGCTGATTGACATAGTGATGCGAGAAAGAAAACAAGTAAGAAGTACAAAGTCAGAGAGGGGTGCGCGATAGACTTACCTCAACGTGGTGCATACTTGGCAACATATGCTCATATGGCAAAAAAGTCTATTAACCGGCAGTTGATTTCTCACTTCAAACTATCATCACCCGACTGAGTGTCATATTCGACCCCTTTCACAGTACTCACCTAACCCTTTCTCTGCCTTTGTGTCTGTCTCTTTGACATCTTTGAAACACTCTTCTGCCCCCCCCCCTCTCCTCTTTTTCACAATCTGATGTTTCTCCCCTCTATGAAGCCCGACGTCAACTAAAGGGCTAATGATAACTGTCAAAACACAGTACTCACCTTACCCTATTTTCTTTGTATCTGCCTCTCTTTCATCTATGAATCACACTTCTGTTCCCCTCTCCCTTCGACTCTTTGTGACTGAAGTTTCTCTTCCCTTCTGTAAAATCCGAAGTCAGTTAAAGGGCTAATGATAATTATGACAAAGACTCCCATTTGAAATAAATATATAGTTCTCAATGAACTCAAATGGAAGGAGTCTAAAGAACAGATTCACTTTTGGGAGACATAGCAACGGCGAGACTCATTTCTAAATCAGGTGGCTTAATTTCAATGATGAATGCGTTTAAACAGACTTCACAAATACCATGTTTAACTGTGACCTTCGAGTACATGAAATGGAAACTTGCTTGTTGCAGTGATTTAACAAAAAACATTGGTCATTAACTTATAGGGACACATTGCATGTTGGAATATAAAGCCAGAGATAGTGGGTGTGGCAGTTTTTGCGCAATGACAATACCGCCGAATAATTTCAATTTCACACTTCTGGACGAAGGAGAAATGAGGAGGCTGCTTGGATACGAGTCGAAATCCAAACGCCTTCCCATATGCGGAACTTTAGGGAAGAAGTGCTATGCTACCGCGAATGAGGGAGGAAGTCTGTATAGACTATTTCCAAGTAGAATGGAATATATCGCATATTTTCTGTGAGTCATTGAAATGCCACTTTTACCATTACTTTTTTCTCTTTTAAGAAATTACTACTTCAGCAGTGACAACACCATTCAAGATAGGAGAATGCGACCCGCCCTGATCGAATATTCGGGGTTGTCCGTGGTAGAGCTATTGGATTTTGGTCGTTTGAGGCTGGTTAATACGCAACTTTGGGAGATTATCAGTGCCATCACAACTCGTCTGCCTCATTTGAAATTCGATATAAACAAATCGGTGGGACTTTATGTCTGTCGAAAAGATAAATGTGAGTTTAGAGATTGTTGGGCGAAGCAATTAGTTCCCCTTTTTTAATTTTGCAACTAATTTAAATTCATTTACCTTCCCCACGCCTATCTAGATTACGCCATCGATGCCACCATCGAAGAGTTATTGGCTCGAGTGCATTAACAACTTCAGCAAACTTACTTCCCTATCGGATTTCTATGTGTTCAAATGACTGTTTCCAGTTAGTGTTGCAACACAAAGTGAGAAGACTTTGAATGTGAAAGTTTGGATATCTAGCAAACGAGATCTTTTTACTGTCTTTTAAAATGTGCATATACGCTCCTCCCTCCCTCCCTCCCTCCCCTCCCTCTCTCCCTCTCTCTCTCTCTCCCTCTCTCTCTCTCTCTCTCTCTCTCACCTTACCTTTAAAGACCATTGTATCAAGTATCTTTCAAAAAAGTATTCGATATGGATTAATCCTACACCAATTGCCACCAAATTGCCAGCGTAACATAGCTAAAAGGATACAAATTTATCCGATTTCAAATGACAAGCTTTATAAATAGCAGTACATTTATTTATATCAAATGGCAGGCTTTATGGAAACAAAATTTATTTATTTATTTCAAATGGCAGGCGTTTTGAAAGTTATCATTAGCCCTTTAGTTGACTTCGGCTTCAACAGAAGGGAGGAGCATTGTTTAGCCCTTTAGCTGACTTCGGGCTTCACAGAGAGGAGGAACATCAACATTAGCCCTTTAGTTGACTTCGGGCTTCACAGAGAGGAGAAGGAACATCAAAGTCACAAAAAGTCTAGAGAGGGAACAGAAGAATGATTCACAGATGTAAAAGTGAGAGACAGATACAGGTAGAGATGAAGAGAGGATGAGTAATGTTGAAGTGGTTGAATAGGGAAAAGGTAAGGTGAGTACTGTGAAAGTGGTGGCATATGACATGCAGTGAGGTGATGGTAGTTTGAAGTGAGAAGCTAACTGCCAGTTTATAGACTATATGTCGTATGAATATGGGTTACCCAATGTGCACCACGTGGAGGAAAGTCTATAGCACGCACCACAACGATACAATTAAAAGAGATAAAATGTTAATTTTTTTTATTTATTGAGCAGAAAATTGATCATATCTTATACGGCGTCAAATTGATAAGATTATTAGTGGACAATCGAAAAAAAAGTAAAGTATGGTTGGCACCTGGTTGTCAGGTCGTTTAATCGTCGTCGATTTGAATGATGTGAGCATCTAGATCTGTGGGCAAGATTTTCTTCCCATTGAAGAAGATATTTATTTATTTATATCAAATGGCAGGCGTCTTGATGGTTATCATTAGCCCTTTAGTTGACCTCAGGCTTCACAGAGGGGAAGGAACATCAAATCGAAAAAAATCGAGAGGGGGTGGGGAACAGAAGGGTGTTTCAAAGATGTAAGAGACAAACATAAAGGTAGAAAAAGGTGAGGTGAGTACTGTGAAATAGTCGAATATGGCATAGAGTGAGGTGATGGTAGTTTAAAGTAAGAAGTCAACTACCACTTAATGGACTTTTTTGCCGTATGAATATACGTTGCCCAGGGTGCACCACGTTAAGGTAAGTCTATCGCACACCCCTTGAAGAAGATATAAATATTAAGAGACGTCAATTCTCCTTACGAATAGAGTATAAATTGAGAGTGAATATTATATGCTCAGTTATTATTCTGGAAGTAACATGGAGAGTTATTGTAGACAAGCTGAAATGGTGGTCGCTATTTTCTAGATTCACTTCAAGCACAACTTTCACGTTAGCCGCTGATTGGAGCAAAGGCAAAGGTTTAGGAGGGAGTCTTTGGCCCCGTTGCGGTTCCCTGCCTGCTCCCCCCTTCCCCCCCCCCCCCCCCCACCACTGGAATTCATCACAAAAAGAAGGTCTAAATTCAGAACCCTTCGACTCCTAATAGTTACCCTTGCTGTATGCTACCCGTTCCATCAAACATCTCACGCTTTTAATGACAGCTGTCATTGGCTCATTAAGTAGGCCAAATGCCTAAAACTGTGCTCGCTGCCATATCAATTGATGGATATTCATTAGTAGTGCTCACTAACTGTCATAAAATCTCAATATCATCATATTTTCTAAAATTGACCTAAAATTTTTGTGTTTTTTATTTTTTGCGAGTATTAACTAAGTTACACTGTGGTAACATCGTTTTCGTGTTCACATAATGTGGTCAGGTAGCCTACAAAGTGCGTGGATAAGTTCATGGTTTACAATTTAAATGTGTTTTAGTTATTGCGGAAAAAAAGACAGAGTCCATCGATTCGACATCAAACATTGTATTTTGAGGTCAAGGTCAAATTCTACACCCAATGTTATATAGCTTGTAATTTCGGTACAGTAAGTGGTGGAAGAATGTAATTTAAGTTAATTATAGGACATTCTAGAAAGATCCATTTTTAATAAAGAATTTTAAAATATGGCCCTCTTGTGAAAATTAGAGGGAAAACATCCCAATAATGTCGAAAGTCTCCTCCAAACTGATGCTCTTTATTCAATCTTAGCCTTCCACTTCCCTCCTCTTGAGGCATTCCTCAAGGCCTCTCAATTCGCCCAACTGCTTGACATTGACGTTGACGAAAACCTCCCTTCCACCCATTGGAACGCCTTATCAGCAATAAATTGTTCAAACCCGGCCCAAATTAATTTCTCCCTTTATTTCAGAAGTGCTATATGCATCGTCGTTAAGTGCTTCTGTCAATTTTCGCCCAAAAATTGTTTGTCTGGCGGGAAGGACGAGGAATTAAAGCGGATCACTAATTCCTCGGAATTTTTTGAAAAAGTGCAGGCTACAGTCGTAACTTTGTCTGATTAAAGAAATTTCAGTCGGTCCATCAATATTTTTACCTTGAAACCCACTTTTAAAGTACTTTTCGCTGTTAGGAGAAACTATGTCTGACTGGACACTACCTATTCGGTCTGTTCTGTCAAGAATCTGCTTTAAAATTAAACTACATTAACTTTTTTTTCTTCTATCTAAAGAAGCGATGAGAGGATCTCTTGAAAGAATTTCTCTCTATCGTTTTAAATTTTATTCAAGTGATTTAGTTACAGGAAGCAGACTACCTTCTGGCAATGATACTCGACTTCTATCGCTGTATTTTCACCATTTATTGTTTCTTTTCAATCAATAATTATTCTGTTGGTTGTCCTCTATCTCTGTCAAATTTATTGATTATTTTAGTCGCTTACTATTCATCGACAAAATTGTGCCTTCCAACAGATTGCTCTTGCGGTTTTATGACACGAAGGTGGAAATATTTGCTTTAAAAAGAAAAAATTTATTTCATTGCCTTAATGCCTGTAAGCTAACGCTGAGAATTCAATTTCATTTATTTTGCCTCAATGTCAAATTATATGCCCACTGCAGTGAAAATTTTTGACGCAAAAAATATAGACCTTGTGCTTAGAGATAAGCGCATCCTGGTTTTCAAAAGTTTTGTGTTGGTTTGCTTATTCTCACGTCCAGAAGCATTTCAATAAAGACTCTGTTTATTATAGGGACAATTTCCTAAGACTATTCGAGTCAAATCATGAAGTGTGAATAAAAGTGGATTATAAATTGACTTTCAAAACCTCTGCCAATATACATGACTCGACGCTTCCCAGATTCAAGTGAACTGATTCACCTGAGACCCCTCGCCCCGCCCCCTCCTTTTCCAAGTCACTTTCTTACCTTATTGGAAGTTCTTCAAGCTCTTCCAATTCAGATTACGATTTACAAAAGGCCTTTTGTACTTATTCAGCCAATCCTAAAACAGCCGGATCCTTTACATTAAAAATTTGGCACACTATCTTCGAGAAGTGTATTTGACAGCGTTAAGGACAATTAAGATATCCTTCTTCGCTTTTCGCCTCTTGAACATAATGGACTGTCGGTGTTTAACCTTTTCTTGGTTTTTCGTTCTGCAGTTCGCTGACCTGTAGAAATTAAACCGCTTTAAAATTCATGTAAGTAAGGCCACAATCGTTAAATTAGTCAACACCCACCGTTGTAAGCCGGTGATATCATGCTCATAAACGAATCCATATAAGCAGCTGAGTTATTTGCCATTACCTTTGCTTGTTCAATTTGATCCATTAGGAGTTTGTGAAGTTCTATCAAACGAGTTTTGAGCAGTTTTGCAGTTTCTTCTCCATTAAAGTATGCTTTATCATCTTCTTTATACTCGGATAAATTTCTTTCTATTCTGCTTGCATCTAAGCAGCGCACCTCCCACAATCTCAGAGGGTTTGCATCCAAATGGCTAGATTCGGAACCAAGTCGGATCGCCTTTACTTCTTGTGAACTTTTTGTTGGTTTTTCCATTAAACTTGTCCCCGTTTTTGAGCTGCTATCGCCCAAAAGTGGTCTCTTATTTGTACCTTTTCTTTTATTTTCATTATCGATTGTGTTGCGGGGACATGAAGGCCCTAACGAAGGTACATGTGGTTATTGATTTTACAGGCCAAAGCATGACGCATCGCCAACCCATACGTTCAATTACTACTTAATTTTAATTAGTAGATATACAATCTTGCTAATTTACGCACTATTAAGAATATTAAGTTCAGCCCTTTTCGATTTCTTTATCTTTTAAATAGGCACCATGAGAGCCTTCAAAGTTAGTGGTTAAGATATAATGATAACCCAATTCGAAATAACTGATCCAATTTCTATGCAGATCTTCCGGTTTCAAGTTATTTGGAGAATTTCGTCTATAGCTACTTCAAACATAGCTCACTTGCCAATTATTGGCGGTTTGTCATTTGTCATTTACTGAATCATTAGTAATGAGTGGTGAAAGTGACTTGGTTCACTTACTTTGGATTACGGCCATTTTCAGAAGCTTTATGTCAATTTGACTACCTTCAGTGAATTTCGTCGATTATTGTTCAACACTTTTGACATCTTGAAAGTTATAATGAAAAGCGTTCTTATGAAATATTTCCAAACTTTCATCCCTTCTCCCTAACTTCACTCGTTTGAAACGCTTTTTTAGACACCGTAGTTCGGCTCGATAAAGTGCTACTTTTTATCCAATTCCAGAACTTTTATTTTGTTTTATTAACAGATAGGACTAAGCTCTAACCGGGAAGAAGTCAAATACTTCTTTAATGGCAATTTCTTAAAATTATCATGGTTATTTAAATAAGCATGTCTAGGACTTCTATTCCCTTAAGGACTATCTCTAGGCATCATTTTACTCGTGATTTTATTCAAATTAGGCCAACATGATAGTCTCATCAATGATTTTTGTGACCCTTGAAACTATTGGTTATCCTAATCTGAAATATTTAATACTCCCTTCCAATTTAAAATTCTAATCCTCCCCCCCCCCTCCCCTCATCTTCATAAACACGCACTCCTTTATTATTGATTAATTTTTTGTTTAAATTGGAAGATTGGCAAGTTAAATGTGCTTGATTCGAACTCTGATGAGAGGTTCCAGAGAAGAGAATTTTAAAATTATATCAGCCAGGAGGAAAGACATATGAGGAAAAGAAAAGATGGGAATGGTATATTTGAACAAAAAAGTTATTAGGTTGGTGAGCCACATTGGCATTCAAACTGTATGATTATCACGTGACTGGAAGGTAACCCCCCCCCCCCCCCCACTAAACACAATACCAACACCCTCGAATCAATGAGACATTGTGGTCAACGGAGGAAATATAACTCAGAAAATGCCTCTAATGATGAAAGCCCTGGAACCAGCAGTGTTTCACCACCACGAAACCGTCAAGTGATTAGAACAAAGCGAAGGTCAGAAGAAGCTAATGGTGAACCGCAATCATCCTGTAAAAGGGAGAGAGTAGAGGAAAGCAGTTGTTTACGGCAAACTCTTGATGAGATGACAAAGCGCTTCAATGAACTAATAGAAAATCTAATGTCTGATTATATTAAAGGTTCAAATCCAAGTGGAAATATTAAGGCAATGATGGCAGAATTGTTGAATGTATACCAAGTTGTTGACAGTCAGTTTATGAAACTGTTGGGTTCAATTACCAGATCAATTGCATTCATAGATGATATCGAAGATGAATTGAAAAGTTCAGCCAATCAATCCCAATTTGATTTAGGCAAGTTGGTTCTATCTTATAACTTCTGATATTTTTTAATAATTAATGATTAATTAATATTGTACAGATTTATCGGTTTCGACACCCGTAGAGGAAAAGAAGGACAAAAAGTCACCATTTGGATGTAGAATAGTGTAAGAAATGTCTTGAAGTGCTATAATATTAATGCCTATTTATCAAATTTTACTTGTCAATTTTGAAAGTTATGCAGGTAATAAGGCAAGGCAAGTGGTTCCGTGTGAATAGTGAAAAGCAAGTTAATATTATACCATTACTTAGAATAAATAAAGACTGAATATTGCGAATAAGAGGTGGCAGAGTATTCGATTGTTCGCATTTAACTTCGATGCATAACTCATCCACGTTTCATTTATCTCTTGGCCACTGCGTAAGAAAGGCTAACTTCCTAAAGGTGTCAAATCAAGAACATTTTCTCAGAGAGTAGAACTGTTTTAGCTACACGTTGTGCCAATTTTCCTCCTACTTGGTCCATTCCAATAACAATTTGGAAAAATTGATGATGATGATGATGGTGGTGATGGTGATGGCGATGATAATTTCAAGTTTCGTGTTTCAGTGGCGCAGATGGGGCTGGATTAGCATTCTTCCTCATCACGCGAACCAAAATGAAAGAGACCCGTCCATTGGGGAGTTAAGATTCATCGAAAATAAAACAGAAAAAAAACTAGAGATAGACGCATTAGAAGGGAGTCGAATTATACCGGTGGGGGGGGGGGATTGAAAAGTAGTCGAAAATAGAGGGTATTTATGTTTAGAAAAGCGGATCTTATCTAGGACCCATTTCATTCGAATTGTTCCTCTAAGTGATAATTGAACTCGGAATGCGAATTTCAACGCAACCAGTCCCACAGGCCACGAAGTAGAGAATAGATAATCAAATACCCCCCCCCCCCTAATAAATACACTAAGCATCTCAAAACAGTAATTATTCAATTTAAAAATATGCCTACAAATAAGGAATCGTGAATAAATAATGATGAATAGAGCCCTCAAAGAAGTGGAAGTACGTAATTAGTACGTGAGAACGGTGGGGGAGGGTGGGGGCACTTGAACTGTGCCCTAACAGAGGGACAAGAAACATCATTTCAACTGCGCGTCACCATTTAAACTCAGTATCAGATACCGCGAGTCTGATACTCCTCGTTGGTGACCCGAGAGGGAGGGGGAGAAGGCGAACAGACATTCGCTTCCCAAGCAAATTGTTCAGAGCAATGTTCAGAGCTTTATTTCAAATGTCTGTACTCGTATATAAAGCCGAGTTTTAAAAACGGAGTTGAGATGGAGGCTTCTAGATTATCTATTTTATAATATTTACTTATATCTACCATTTTGACTCAAAGCTGCCCCGACCTAATGGTCAGATGATAATGTGTTCAATTTGATCACTCATTTGAAGGTCAAAGAGAGAAAAGAGGTCAACTAACAGGTTTCACTCTTTTAGTGTCGAGGTTTGTTTCTTTTGTTCCATTCCATATTCTGCCTACCCTTACCTTTCGCAGGAAAGTACATCCGTAATCAAGCGCGCATTCAGAAGAAAAGCGAGATATGCAAGTTTGCTATCTTTATTAAAATACCACTCCTGCCTAGCTAAAATCACAGACACAAAGAGCACAAGTATAAGCAAAAAGTACTATTTATCAGTAGGTTCGGGTTCAGTTTCAACGACTTGGTCTGACGGCTTTACCTCATCTGGAGAGTATTTCAGCGCGACATTGGGAATTTTTACATCTATTGTCGCGCCAGAAGGCTTCTGAAACCTGTAAATGCCCCACATATAGGTGTTAGGTATTTTGGTGATTGTGTGACTGTGGTACTGGAAAACAGGAGTACTTGTAGTTAGTACGGGTTCCTAAAAAGCAAAACAATAATATGCACATAACTACTTAAATACATTTCAGTATAAGTATGCACTTACTTTCCCGATTACTCCTTTACCAGAAATCGTCTCAAGTTTTCCCTTCATAGAATAAATTTTCCAAAATCGCTCTCTTAGAGTTAGTGGTTCAGAAGTTAAATTCTCAATACGAACTGAGTAACGCCACTAAATAAATAAATAAGCAAAAACAAGTCAATTGCCCAAATCAGGTTCAAGGAAACAATGAAGAGCCATCATTCTTACATAGAAATCGGAGCCTATTGAGCCCAAAAAGAATGGGAAAATTGTAACGCGTACACCGTGCGTTGTCTGTCGATAGACTCTTCTCAATTCCAATGCTGGTTTGATGCTTTCAATGAACTCGCTCATAATTACAGCGGGATAGTATTTCTCTGTAGAGTAAGAGACAGATTCATTTACAGCAAGTCCCCCTATACATATCAATTCATCCATGTCAACCTTTTAACCCACCTTCCCTTGCTCCAATCAGGCATACTGACAATTATTACCTTTCTTATAAAAGATTCGTTGATGTGATTACCGGCTAGATACTTTGTCAAAATAAATACTCCCTATGGCTGGCTAGGAATCGTGGTGCAACCAATACATTCTTTAAAATGATCGATAAAGCAGAATTCAAGAGAGGTTTATCAATAAGCATGATATAATAACCGATTTCTATAATGGCATAATGAGACCTGACGTTGAATAAACCTCAGTTTGTCATTAAATAATGTATTTAATAATCTTTACTTGACCTAGTAAGGTCGAAATCTTCAGCTTTCACTCTTGTCACGCTTCTAGTAAACGTAAAATTCACAATAAATTCATTCAATTACATTCGAATTGACTCTAAACCAAGTTTGGTAACTTGATACGTGACAAGAGAGGTGTTAGAATTAAAAAAAAATTTTTAAGGACTGAAATTTTTAAATTGAATCATGCTTAACTAAAAAATATCTCACCTATAAGCTAATTACCTACATCAAGTAACTATAAATGATAAAGTTTAAAAATATATCATTAAAGAAGGAAAGAACTTCATATTCCAGGATTACTTCCATCCAGATGCCATTGAAAGAAGTCTCCCAACAGTGAATTTCTCACGGGAACAGGTGAGGAGCTAGTGTAGGGAATAAGATCATCATGAAATGCGTAATCCATTCCTAGGGAAGAGAAATAGTGAGAAATCAGAAATAAAAAAAATGTGCAACGCATTCAATGGCCTTAGCAATTGAAGAGCTGTAGGCTATTACCCTCAGAAGAGTAAGAGAGTATAATTGGACCCAAATCAATTTCTTCTATATCTAAGCAACGATTAGTCAATGAGCCGAAAAAATGCTATTATTAATTAAATATACATTTAAGAACTTACCTCGTTCATTTTTTATCTCAGTTCTTATGTCAGGGTCGGCGAAATATGTGCTTCCAGAATAGAAATAGTTCTAGAAAGAGAATCAGAATAATGGAAGAGCAAGTTACACAACTCGTGGCATCCGATATATCTAACAATAAGGAGTAACCACGAATAGTTCCAAGAGGTCCAGGAGGATTAGCCAATGATTCTAGATCTGATTCTGACAGCGACTGTTCACCAGCGCCATCGCTTTATTATACAAGACTAGATAATTTAAGCCGATGCCTACTTTTCTTTAAGTATATCAACATTCCCAGTGGCAATGCTTTTATCCACAAGTTTTGCATTCCAACATTTCATAACGACTGCTCTGCAACCGAAAAGGCGGTTGATTACAAGTTGGCCGGGTTCATAGGACTCTTCTTGAATTGGCTCCAATTTACCAATATTAGAAACACTATGAAAAAAATTAACGAACAAAGTAGTAATTACAATGATTCAGAGAAATAAGATTTCAAACGCTGTGATGATTTGATGAGAGGAAAACGGTGAGCAATAGAAAAATGCCTGAGTAGCATTTCTAAAAGTAGTGAAAAGAATAAAGAAAAGTTTTGTACATTTTGGGGGAATTTAGTATCAAATATATTCAAGGATAAATGCCTACATAAAAATGTGTAAGGCTACGAAAGCCAAAGAGGACTTAAATGTTAGCAGAAATACTAGTTAGAGCTAAATGCGACTCACTATTTGGAAATAACCTTGAGACAGATAAGTCGTTCGTTTACGGTTTAAGCCAAGGACATGGAATCAGCTTCATCAAAGACTATGTTTTATAAAATACCTTAAATTTAAACTAAACAATTAGTTCTCATTTTTTATTTAATTCTATTTATGATATTTATACATATGTAATACATATCATTTGTTATTTCGGATGTTAAATCAAATTGATAAGTACCACTTATATATAAGTGAGTGTGTGGTACACGTTATCGCTGTGTACGTCATCGTATGCCTGCATGTCTGCTCGTCAGGATTGGGAGGTGCGGCCGTTCAACTCTGTGTGCAGCGACCGTACAAACAATGACCAATCATCAACCTCAGTTTAACCTAAT